TTCTTTCGCGATCGAAAGTAGCGATCGAGCGCGCCTACTTTTTGTTTTTTGCATCGCAACTCGCGCGTCCGATAAGCATCGCCGCCGAGACTACTTAAATGAATGTTCTCTTCAAAATAAACCCTTCTTGCAAGCGCAGTTGTTCCTCTCGCATCGGTCACCACAATGTCGGTGTTATGCAAAGGATAAAATTCTAAAATCACTAAACGTTTTAACGAATTAAACTACCCTTACAAAAATATGTATGGACACTTCTAGGACGTTCTATAGACCAGCGTCCATAGGGAGGACCAAAGGCATCTATAGGCGGACCACGACCTCTGTTGCCTCCGTGAAGTCGTCCTATGGCTGCCCTATAGAATATTGGCCAACGGACGTTCTATGGACGTCCTATTCTATGGATGATGTGTGGTCATCCTATATCCTCTCTATGGCAAGGCGCCATATAAAGTCCATAGGGACTCTATAGGGTGTCTACACAGGGTCTTTACGGTGTCTATAGGGTGCCTGTAGAAAAGCCATACGAAGTCTACAAGGAGTCCCTAGGGAAGCCATACAAGGTCTACACAGGGTCCTCATGGGGTCTGCAGAAAAGCCATAAAAGCTCTACAGGGAGTCGCTACAAGGTCCGCAGAGAGGCCACTCAGTCTGCAGGGGGTCTGCTATGGGGTCCGCACCGACCAACGTTTCTAGAGCAAGTCAGTTGGGAAACTGCTAAAGAGCTTGCTCTGAAAAAGTGGCACCCCGATCTGTACTCGAAAACCAAACTAATTGCGATCGCAACGCCACCATTCCACCCGCAGCGGCCACTCGGATAACTGCACGACTGCGTGTGTTGGTTTGGGACTATCGATATTCGACAGCATGTGACTGTTCTGCTTTGGCTTTAATCGGCCACTTTGGCGCCGAAACATATACGGTAGAAGAGGGATGCCAACCCCCGTCTCCCAGGCGGACACGCCGCGAATTGCCACCGAAGTTAGGACGCACCCAAGTCGGGACGCGCTACCTGAAGTGGCCGGTGAGGCATGGCTGTAAAAAAAATATATTAATTGTGCCGCAAAACCCTGTAAGCTAAAAGTGTATGCAAACATCACGCTCTTGTCAGTTTGTACTGATCTCCAATAAAGGGTTCTACAAAAAGAGCTTTTCCCCATTTGTTTTTACGCAAAAACGTGCTCTGTAAAAGACATTTTAAAGAGTGTAGGGTCCTTAGGGGTCTGCAAAGAAGCCATACAAGGTCTATAGGGAGTACGTAAGGGGTTCACAGGGAAGCCATACAGGGTCCACAGGGAAGCCATGCAGGGTCTACACGGGCTCCTTATGGAGTCTGCAGAGAAGCCATACAGCGTCTGCACGGAGTCCCTACGGGGTCCATAGAGAAGCCACTTTAAGCGATGGTGGTAGCGCGGTGTGAGAATCGCACTCCCGAGCTCCTGGATGATTGGCATCATAATAAAATGGCTTGCCTACACTTTCCTGACGTGAAAAAAAAAACATCAAGTAAATCTCTGATACTGCGCGTATATAGCAAAACTACAATTCCTTACGCGTAGCGCGCAGACCCAGCCTAGTATACCGCTTTTTAACGACGATCATCCAGATGACCGCAATTTTGATAGGCACCAGTGCGCCCACTATGGGTTGTGAAAGTTGCGAATATTTACGGGGGCCGCAGCGACCCACATATACCTACCTCCCACTGAGAAAGTAAAAACATTATTCCGACACATACTAAACACTTCCATCTCCACAATGAGTATACCCTGAGGTTAGATATGCCTCTAGACATCAGTGTAACATATTGATACCCGGAACTTAATTAACAACTCTTTAACTCAGACACCTCACTACACCTAAAGAAAACGTCTACCCGGCATCACTTTGTTAATGCCCCAATATATAGCTCACACCATAGAGAGGCAATAGGATGACCATAGACTCACCGGGACCATAGAACGGAAATAGGAAGGAATGAAAACCTTTTTCTTTCGCGAAGATCTCTATAGCGTTTTTGTGTCCATTCTGTGGCAAACCAATGGTACATAGACGGTCTAAGAACTGTCTACAGGAATCCATAGGATGGACAAAGAGGTAATAGAACGGCAAAAGTATGGACATAGGACGTCCATACATATTTTGGTAGGGGTACCCTGATATAAAAAAGGAGGAAACGGAGGTCACAGGGAAATAAAAAAAAATCCTTATAGAAGAATGCTGAGAGAAAGAATGCGTATCGCAGACTCCGGAATGCGTCACTCAACCTTCTTTCTTCATAAGTGAAGATGCGGGAAAGTTTCTGCTTAAGAATGGGGTCCGGTGGAGTTAGTCGTCGAGGTTAGTTCGTGGTTCGAGACTCTGTGGATTTTTGTGTGGATTTGCTTTGTGGATTCCTTTGAGCGGAGGGATGACACGTGAAGATCTAGGACCTTTGTTGACCTGGATTTGAAGAGGGCGTTGCAAACGGCGAGGAGCTATCGCTGTGTAAACAAAGCAGATTTTGTGAAATAAATTATCTGCTAAGCTTAAGACAGTGTGTGTCTGTATGTCCGTTGTTCTATTTTAGCTGGTATCGGTTTGAAGTATGAATTTACTAGCAAATTTGAGATATGCTGTCGTTATACTGATTATGCCAAAAAGGCAGAAATTGGACTATATTATCACGCAGCGCCAGCTGCGGTGATGCGAGCTGAAGCTTATTAAATATAGGATATTATTCCACTTGCCTCAGTCTAATCAGCATACAAGATATGCGAAAAGGCGTGGCAAAGGTGGTTTAATGATGAAATATGTATTTTCTAAAGTATGCAAATATTGAGCATTCTAGCTTTTTTTTTCTTTTATTCGGATGTAACACGAGGGAGAAAAATTTATTGGTGAAAATAATTGGAGCCCGCAAAACCTTTTATCATACCTAACCGAAAACCTTGTGTAATTGTTAAACCGCTTTACATCGTGGGTAGTGAGACATGTTTCGCTATACCTAACCGATAATGACTGGCATTTCGTCTGAACTTAAAGAAGAACACTTTGCCACTTTCGTATTTTGTTCCACATTGTCGCTCTTCTGGTTTGTAGTCCTTCATCGCGTACTGTTAAAGGGGGGAGGGGGAGTAGGGAGTGCAACGATTTCTGGACTTCGGTCAAACATTTGTGAAAGTTGTCCTCTGACACTTCTAAAGTAAATAACATAAAATCGATTTCGCCTACGTGTCCTAGTTGTTGTGTAAAAAAAATATAAATATTGGCATTTCCGGCACCCCTCAACTCACTCCCAATCTTCAAGGACACAAGTGGTCGCACTCCTAGTGACGTAATTCTGGGTGCCATGTGGGTTCCCGTGTGATCTCTTGGAGGACGCTTCCTCTTCCTTTCTCTGCTGACATAAGCGGGTGTTATGCTGCAGCTTAGAGCCGAGCGAGGTCACTTAAGCGTCTCGCTGTAGTTCCTTCGGCTGCCACTCGCGGCTGCAGGTGGGGGGAAAAGCTCTACTTTGGCTTTGCCTTGATGCAGCGGAATAGCGACATTTGTTAATGAATGAGATGTTTTCTCTATCCTCCTGGACACGATAAACAACGTAAAAATGACCAGATGCGAATTCTTTTAATCTTAAAATCGTTGGACCCCCATCTTTCCCTCTACGGGCTGGAGTACCGACAAGCGAGACTCATGTTTCGATCCATGTTTTCTTCGGAATTATGTTAAAAAAAAACCAACCAGAGAGGCTCTTGATAAAAAAAAAAGAGTTAGAGGCTAATTTTGGCGTCTTTTTATCCCGTCACTCTAAAAATCACGTACATATTCGCCGAAAATGTAACGAAACGCGAGAAAACACTAAAAACGTCCGACGAGTCGTTACGTCATGCTAGAATCTTTCGGCCGCCAAGCGCGTGTCGCTGGTGTGGGCAGGGCGTGCAATCGCAAGCTTGCCAGGCATATTCCCCTGAACTGAAAGCAGTCGTGACGTATTTTTCTGACCATTTTTAAGATAGCAAGAGTACGCGTGGATAGCTTCTGAAAGGCGCTGAATACGCACGAGATCGGAGAGTTCGAAAACTCCTTATATGAAGTCACGCTCCGGGAAGGAGGGGCTTCAGCGGTATTTTGGTAATAATTTTCTGCAGCCCCGTGCACATAATTCAAAAATAATTTCGATATTTGTATTCCTGGAACCCAAATGAAGACGATTTAAGTGTGTTTCCTGAAATACAAAACCGCGCTTCAGTTTCCCTTTAATCAGACATTAGGTTTGTTAGTAACGTTCGAAATCCAAGTTTGTCCCTACCGCGCGTCTCTGCTGGTACCCCTTTTATACATGGCGTGCACGTGACTTCATAGCGCATTCTACTGGTGGTCATTCCTACTTGTTTTTGCAGAGTAAAACAAATTGCATGGTGCTTTTTGTATGCCCCAGAAAACAAGCGCTGTGTAGAAAGGCATCCCGAATGGCCGCCAATGTGATGTCGGCGTAACTAATTTATAGCCGAAGTGACGTGAGGATATTTGGGGTCACCGGCGGGATCCTGGTGTGGTTGGTGGTGGCTGTTGGCTTCCATGAAGTTTAGGTCCGACAGCCTCTGTGATTCGCCCGGAGGTTTATGTCCTCGCAGAATATACTTGGTTTTATATTAGAAGAAAATAAGGGTGGAGACCAGTTGATGCTATCAACTTTGGGTAACGTTGGAAAGCCTTCTTCATGCGTCTTCAAGAGGGTCTTGTAGAGCGGTGGTGTTGCGGACCACCGCAATATGACTACCGTGAATCGAGCTCGGCCTCGTTGGTGTAGACAGCAGTGCTCGATTTTGCAACGTGAGCCTTTACACGTCCGCTCCCAGTCGTCATCCTTTATTTTACCCATCATATAATTGTAGTACAGTTAACACAACCACTTAATTATAGACTTCAACTGGTGATAGCATGACAAAGGAAATATACTTCTACAATACTAGTATACTGGTAAACACAAAGAAACATTTCCTACTAAAAGGAGATGTCGCTTTCTATTGGTCTCCTTCTTTACAGTCGTCTTTCCATACTTCAGATGTTGTGTTGGGGCAGTTTTGTGTGTAGACATTCATGCATTCCTGGGGAACAGGAAGAGGGCCCCGTCCATCTCCTACTGAAAACAATTCGCAACCTGGAAAACAAATACAAAAGAGTTGATACATTAAAACGTCGAGTTAGGACCACTTAGGAAAACATTTGTCGATGCAATAATAGTTGACTGCTATTAGAAGATCAAGGAACCTACCAATTCTTCGCTCGCAGTAACAAAGTGTTCGTATATTTCTGTTAAAGTTATTGGTACGGCGGAAAAAAAGTATCTTTGGTGGTCTGCAGCAAGCAGTTACTGGATATTATAATTCAGGCACTAAAGGGCATCACTTTAGTTGCTACAACTGATGGTGGGTATTGGGTAAGGAGACAGGTGACGCTGTTTAGAAATTGCCAGAACCCCATTTTACGTAATATGTTAAAAAAAATGTAGGACGGAGTTTGTTAGGTTAAAAAATTCATTGAAAAGTTTAGAAACTGCCACTGTCACTGCATTCACGACATACATGTTTCACTGACTTTCTCGAGTCTTGTGGTCGGCGGCCATTAACCGAAAAACGTTTACAAAGTCATAGTTGCGCGGAGCGATTTCTGTAGTGCTTTTGCTTCCCAATGGGCTGGCCGTTTCTCCATTTATGTCAGCTGGGTTATTTTTACACTTTTACGGCAATTCTGGAATGCTCCAGTTTTATGTAGATAACTGTAAATATCAGCGTAGAAGGGTCCCCATTGCCTGGCATGTATAGACCATACAAATTATCGCCTTCTCTCCGTTGCCATCTTTGTCACGTGTGGAACGAGTTCGGAAAATGCGCGGTAGCTCTTCATTTTATGCCAAAATCACTTGGTACTTTTTGCGTGGGTGATAAGCGGCCGAAGAATATCTAAAAAATCGAATGAAGGACAATTCGAAGAGCACGTGTTGCAAGACTTGTTTTTATCGCACCGGAACGCAAGGAGGAGCACGCCACAAAACAGGCAACTTAAAGAGCGCGCAAAAAACGCACGGTGACGACATGGCCAAGAGCACGTTGTGATTGCGTGGTTGAGCTCGGGAAAAAAAAAAAGCTAGCGGGCGCATTGGGGCTTTAAACGAACGCACGAGGTGAGCAAAGAGCAGAAGAACTCTCGCGCCGTACAGGCAGTCAGTTTCCCCTTTGTCGCCGTCACGAAATCAACGATTCCTATTTTTTTAGAGCCATAAGCTTGCCATATTATGCACGTATTTTATGGTTTTTAATTGAATGTAAACGTTTCACTTAAGTGTAAAAGTCGAAAAGTTTACATTCATGTTCATATTGTCAAATGCCATGACACATAGCCAAATAAAGTTCATTGGAAAATAAAATATAAAATGGCCGCATCTAAACGTGGTGAATGATGTTGATTGGGGCGAAGGTCTGGTGGTGCTGATGATACTGATTTTATTGTTCATAGGTAGTGCTGATGGTGCTGATATTTTTTTTATTGCTCATAGGTAGTGCTGAGTTCCGAGTTGCCGTTTCGACTTCATAATTACTGCTTTATGGTCGGTGAAATACAGAGCCAGTGGTTCTTCTAGCGGATCAGCTCGAATCCGCTAGAAGCCGTGGTAACGCATCTCCACCGCTTAAGTCAAAGGTCCATGTCAGAAAGGGAATGTGTGGTATGGAACGTGGTTATATACGCATTTGAGCAATTTCCCGCGGCGCCCTCTCGTCTATAAAAGTTGAGCCAATGCATGCAAAGTTTAATGCGATTATATACGCATTTGACCGCAGCGCCCTCTCCTGTGTAGACGTTGAGCGGCTACATGCAACGTTTCATCCATGACAGAAACCCCAGCTCTTGAGTTTCTACCACATCTCAGAGCCCCCTACTCGTCCCGCAGTCGTGGCCGCGTGGTTAAGGCGATGGACTAGAAATCCGATGGGGTCTCCCCTCACAGGTTGGAATCCTGTCGACTGCGCAAACATTTTTTCTTTTCATGTGAGCACGGACGCCGGCCGGTCGGACGGACGGACGGACGGACAAGGGTAGACCCTAAGGAGCTTCGTCCCTAACACTCTTATCTCCTGTCTTGACTATGCTTAGGCATTCTAAATAAAACAAAACAACAAAAAAAAAAAAGCGACAGGCTACTGCAGTTTATCGGCCAATTAAAAAAAACATTGTCTTTACTCTGAATGTGTTTTTGTCACGTGTCCAATAGGAATAATGATATTCACGAAAGCCTAGAGACGAGAAAAAATGACCTATTTGTTCTGGTCTTTTCAGATATGCTTTACAAGCTTACAAGTGCATCAAAAACAACATAATATTGTTATCGTGGTCCTTGTCTGAGCCTGTGTGGGTAAATGTGATTTTATTTCTCCGTTTAGTGTAAACTTACGTTGGCATTTGTGTTATTTTTTTTTTACGAAGCAGCCGATCAGCATATTAGCAGTGTCAGGCTTTTCATGTATGTTTATTAGTTAATAAACAGCCATTATTGACTAAAGCGTTAACTTGGAACGTCCAATCAATATTTGTTGAATGTCAAACAAATATATAGAAAAATAGTTTATATAACCCAGTGACGCATCCTGACTTTCGCGGTTTTGAAATTGTTGTCACAGACGACCCAATATTTGTGTTAATATAGGCGTGAGCCAAATACTACTGGTCGAAAATTCCGTGGAATCATTACGTTCGTCTGTTGGTACATAATAATGAAATGGTAGAAGAGCGCTAACAATGCTGAGGACAGAAGGAATAGTTGCAGGAACAAAAAGGCAATGTGTGCGTGCATATTTTTTTTTTCTTTTGGCGCTTTCTTTACAGTTTTTTGCTCGCTATCACGATATTTGCAGCTACGTTCAATTGGCTTTTCTGAGGCGAGCGTTGGCATTCATTCGAGTGTTTGAGTAACACAAATGTGAAATCAATCATTACAAAAAGTAGAAAACAAAATAGTACACCTTTCGAAAAAAAGAGAAAAACGATGCAAATTGTTTAACAAAAATTTTCACGGATGTTTATTCAGATTTATCCGCAATTACTGGGGTGGTTCTCTGCCTTTTTTAATCGTTCGCCGGTTAATCGTAAGCCATACTATTTGAACTCGTGGTGACAGAAATATATTAAAAGAAATTAGTTTATTAAAAAGTACGTTTTACTTTTATTGTTTCCTTAAAAAGAACATATTTTGTAGAAGTTAATTTTGAAGACGGAATCAAAACGGAGTAGTCGGTGGCATTTTTAAGGCTGCATCGAACTACCCGCGATCTTTAGCCCTCGCCTTTTCTCTTTGGAGAATCTGGGTTGTCTAGAAGCAGGAGGTCTATGGCGAAAGACCAGGCGATAATTACAAGATAAAAGTATAGTTTTTGTAAAATTTCTTAGCACGTCTAAGCTAACAAAAAAAATATTTGTTTGTAAGACTTATTTCCGCGAGATTAGCCTGAATCATAAGATATTTCGCATTTCACATTCAATATATTTGTCACCCCTGCGTTTCTAAACAAATATTACGCACTTGGGGGAGAGGGAAGGGCTTACCTGGAGAATATACGAAATCTTCTGTAATGTTTTAAATACGCTTAGGTAAAAAGTATATTTTTTGAAAATGAAGGATGTCATGAAAGGTAGTAAATCTTTTCTTACCTGTCCCATATTTTTCATGCGTTGCGCGCAGAACAGCACACGTCTTGTCTGAGTTGATGTACAAAAATTTATACAACGGCGGCTGAGGATCTAAATAAAAAAAAGAAGATTAATAAAGTGTCCGTGACCCTAATAACTTTAAGCGGAAGTTAAGCCGAAGAAAGGAGTAACATGTATTTAGTTGCATGGGGCTAATTAAACCCAGAGGAGTGAATACAACGAACCAACATAAATCGTAAACTGTTTATGATACGCATCGTTTAGATCTTTAAATTGTGTCTACGCGGAATGCTGCGACGCATGTGCGTATATTTTCTTTTAGTCTGTCTAGATACCTCTCGCAGCGGAAGGCTAGAAAGTCTAGAGGCAAACATTTATTTGTCCTCCTCCCTCCCCCACCCCCCAAAAAAAAACAAAAAAACAAAAACAACAAAACTGATGCGCTTAAAAACCGACGACCACTTCGCGCTTTCCACTTTTTCCTCGCTCCTTCCTCTGCCCCTTCTACCCTGTCCAGCGTTGTCTGTTTCCTCCTCCCCATGATGACGAGGATCTTCTGCCTTGCAGAATCTCGAGTCTGATCGTCGCGGTCTTTAAGACGGACAGTTGGGCACTGTAATACGTCACGCCGATTCACTGCAATTTGCCTCAATGATATTTTGAGTCAAACTGTTACTGAAAAACATTTATGTTATCATTAGGTTTTAACGTCGATACTCCGCTTGATCAAAGTACCTTCACTATAAAGGCAGAAATATCCAAACTTCATTATAAAACTTTGCCGCTGAAAACTCAAATCAATTGATCGATGCAGTGTCTCTGGTAAAGGAGCGTCAAGCAATAAAGACAAGGTGTTCTAAAAGTGATCTTCACTGGGGCCTTAGTCTTACCACCTCTTTTGCAGTAGCATTTTGTATTGCTGAGGACGAGAAAATTTTCCATGGCTAGCCTCGAGGGTGAAACGTATTCCGCTTGACACTGTTAACAAAGTTTACTATTATAATCTTCAGTTAAAAAATGCGTGCATGCGAGGACTTTAGTAGTATTTGCAAAAGACAGAATATGAACTGTGTCCAGTTAATTGAAGTTCTATTCTTTGGCAGCACGAAGAACTCAGGGCATTACGTTTCCTGAGCAACTTTTTACCGCTCCTTATCCAATCGGATTGCACCATTAGGTGAGAAGACCCCCGAACAATGAATCAGGAAGCGACAACGCCGACTAGCGCGAACAAAATAGGATACGGCCTCGGTTTTTTATGCCGCCATTCACGTGAATGACCAAAAGAAAAAAAAAAGAGAAACACATATCGTAAATGATTTCATTATAAAATTTGATGATTCATTATCAACTATTCTTTTGTTTCAGCTGAAGTCGAGACACAGCTGATACTATGCACCTGACTTCTCATCTTGCAATCCGATTTCGGCAGGCCCAGGCGACCCTACACCTTCCGTTGCCGTTCTTGCCTCGACAAGCACGTCGGGTTCCACTGTTGTGCAACGAAATGGCCCAAACTTGCAGCAGCTTTTTTTGCAACCTCAAGAGAACCGACCTCAACCACCACAAACAACGACATGCCGGACTCTACACAATCCGAAACGAGATATCGTCGCAACTATGGCTCCCAAGGGCCGGTTCTGCGATTTGTTGTACCCAATCATCTACGAAACAACAGTTTACTTGTCCTTCAGGACGATCCCCCGGCTTCGTTTCATCTTACGTCCAGGCACAGCCGACGCAACGAGCTAATGGGACACATCGAACAGCGTCAAAAACGCAAGTCACTGAACCTTTTTTGTTTAGGATTCGTTTCGTGATGACATAACACGTACAGAGACTTGAGGAACACCATGAGGGTGCTGTCTCGACGCTGTCTGATTGCTCCAATCAGTTCGTAGCGTCAGCTGCGCCTGGACTTGAGTTCAAAAGGTCCTGGAATTCGAACAACCAGTAGCAGCTGTACTGTAAACACTCTAAAAATGACGTGTCTTGAGTTTTATTTCCATCTGATTAGTAGGGGAGTCGTATTAGCAAATTAAACGTTCGACGTAGATGCGTGGAACAGCCGGTTGCTGCGCGCCGAAGGTAGGAAAGCGTGAGGGCGGAGAGAAAAACTAGCCAATGCGACGTCACCAGCGGGGTACCCTTGGTCGCCCCTAAGCTGGCTTGCGGATGTCGACGATGAGGTCACGACGCTCTGGACAGATAACAGGCGGCAGAAAGAATCGTCGCACGCCCGCCGACAATCGCTGCACTATTTTTACCCAATAAATACGGTTTACGGTTACTTTTGCCCAACATAAGTGCGATAACTGAAGTTAAGGGACAAAAATTAATAAAGGTTAGCTCCTAACCACGTTTTTTTTAAGTGATTTAGCTTTCTTTTAAACTCAAACGATATTAAATCCAATTTTGAACACTTTAATACAAAAAAAAATACAACTCGTTTTGTTGCGGAAGTTAAACATAATTGAGAAAGCCTGATTTGTTTACTGATGCGACATTAGCCCTTGCTTGGTGAGGTAACACTAAGGCTCTTATTTAATGATTTTGATAACTTTTTATTTGGCCTATTGAAAGTGAGAAAACGTTACGATTTTTTATGAATACTTACTACTTGGAAAGGTGAAGAAAAGCGCATTGTCCTCAGTGTGTGATCCAGAGGTGAGTGGATGAACGGTTACGTTCAAGCTGTACCTAGAATTTTGGAATAAGATATGAATTTCGCATTTTCACTTTTAGAAATACTAATAAACTTTTACGCTTACATTTTTTTTGAGCCCTTAAAGCGGTGCCTGACAAGAGCCTGATACGTTCCGTTACAAAGTCCCGACGTAAATTTCACGGATACGCATTCAGTTGGAGGCTGTGGCGTATATGTGTAACTCAATACGTAGATCGTGTCACTGCTACACAGGAGCTGGAAATAAATATGATAAACTCACACACACGTAAAGATATTCTCGCGCACGCAATCACGCAGCATGCTCACCAACTTTTTTTTTTTCACGCAGAACATCTATATGAAAGAGCCTACTGAATATCTGAGGGAAGTATTCGTGCGCAGGCGAGTTGGTAAAAAGTTCACATAATCCGAGACAAGGAGGGATACGAAACACACACAAAAGAGATGGACAGAACACAACGTCTCTTTTACAACGTCTCGAAGACATTATGTGTTGTCTCTTGCTTTTACGTGTATTTCTTAACCTTGCTTATCTGTTTCGGGTTAAACATACACCTTGTCCTGTCAAATAGCTCTGACCTAGATATTGAAGGCCCTCAGACCGAACGCCTTCAGAGTATCGGCAAGTTAGTTTGTGATCTTATCTCTGCGCGTGTTCCGCCACTTGCACTCGTTCGCTAACGCCAAGAAAGGGCGTTGATTGGAAGGCATGCATTGATTCAGCGTATCAGGTCCAGACTAAGAATATTAGTTAATTCCCCGTTAACAGTATGGTAATAAATTGAAAGCAATCGGTGCCTTTGTTCTCGCGCACGCTCAGGGATTTTGAAAGCTATAGACCTTACATTCTTAACTTTGCTTTAATGAATGTTCGTAGCGGGTTATAGGTCGTTGGGAGACTACAGTTAGTGCAAAACGTTGGAGTTTGGCATTGAAATTGAAGCGAACAAACAGACCATCGTGGGGTAATCAATGTTAACTCCGCGACAGCCTTATAGGTGACCATGCGTTAATTGTGCTTCTTATTGTAAGACGCCTCGCGGTGGGTCCGAAGCAAATAGCCGGTCTACCAATTCATCCCCAGCTGTCGGGATCGAATCCCGATTGCGTTGCCCGCCTTCTGACGGAGGCTTATTGCGAGGAAGGCGCCGTGTAGCCGAGATTCGGTTGCACGTCCAAGGGTCCAGAAGTTGGCGAAATTAATCCTCACCCCTCCGCTGCGGCGTGTGCCAGGTGCTCTTCGTTGGTTTGACACGGGAAACCCGCCAATTTTATTTTATTTGTGTTTAATTTTTTATGCATACAGTGGCTGGCGCTATGAGCTGAAATGCGCAGAGGGCAACCAAACAGTACAGCTCACGTTGTCCAGCGGAGAGCGAGCCAAGCGGTTGAGTTGCAGCGGAGGTGATTATGATACCTCGCTTGCTGGGCCTGAGTATAGCTTTTTGCCTCTGAACAGTGTTCCGCGCATTTAAGTCTGAGTGTGAGCGATTGCTTTGCAACCGTTTTGTGACTACTCCAAACCAAATAACAATCTTGCACCATCAATCTATACGGTGCCCCAGAAACGTTCCCCGTCTGCGTCTATACTTCCGAATCTTAATGATCACTGTGGGCTTTACATAATTTGGCCAATGTTATAGGCAATCATTACTCATCGATAGAGCGTAGATTTAATACAACACCTTCGGTCCGTAGTTATACGCAGATTGTAAGCGTTCTTCGAGTACCTTCTAGATTGCGCTGGTGTATGTTCTCTCGACGTAAGCGGTGACATGCATATGTGTAACCCCTCCGCATTTTAGAAACTGGTAGCATTGCTATGTTTGTGTTTGGAACATGAAAAAAAAAAAAAAAAACAGGAAAATAAATGCCCATTTGTTCGATCTGAACACAGATCCCTAAGGCTCAGGGGCATGACTGTAAAGGAGGGAGCAGTTTATTAAAGAAGAGTCTAATAAATTCTGAGAAAGGCCACAATTTCTTTTCGATCATTTTTATAGTCACGACAAAGAGAATAATCGCAAACAAAATCGTCATCGAGGCGCCTCTTTAAATTAAATACTATTTTAGAAACGCGCAAACGGCAATAGCTGGTATCGCATGCTCCCATCTAAAAAAGGAGATTGTTGTGTATATGTTTATACAGCCGGAAGTTAGACCACCTTAGTAGGCATCTGGTTTCTCAGCTGTAGATAAGCAATTTAGCCAGTGCGGTACAACCGCTAGCCTAAGGTCTTGAACGTGCATCACAAAGTAGTGATACACGACAGCACACCAGTACTATGCTCATCCAGATCGAAACGAGCAGGCGTGGGGATTGAACCCAGGATTCTGGGTTCTGCAGCGTGAGCTTTCGGTTCATGTGCTCCGAGCCGGTGTGCGCTAGCCCACTCGGCCACGGATCTCCACTTCTCCCACCTAAAGAAACACAAATTCTAGTTCTTTCTAATCAAGTTTCACAGTAATTCACGGTGGTTACAACATATAGGCCTGAATGCGGTTCATTACAAGTACTTCTAATAGTTACTTACGCCAGTTGCGTGTTGGTGTTCAAAATTGTTTGGATCATCTTCGTAAGGCGTTTTTTGGGAGCTCACAGTGGACGAAAGCCCAAATTGCTGGCTGGTTGCCACAAGGAAGGTTGCTAGTGCAATTGAAAAGAGAGACATTTTATGTTTCGAACGTAATTCGTATATTGCCTAAAATATCGCCCTTTTATATGTTCTTAGAAACATTGACTACGTAGATGTAACGTAAAGAAAAGAGCGTTTGAGAGTTTTTATTGGTAACTGAACTATTGTCTTCCGCCGAACGTCAGTCAAATTCCCGTGAAAGGATTAATAAACAAAATATTCTAAACAATGCCTCGAATGAACAGATAGAAACATTCTTGTTCCAGCGTACCGAACGCTCCCACATCATCTCATTTTTTTCAAGTTAATTATAAAGAATTTTGTGGCCAGATGCGATAATTCGCTGCATTTTGGCGGCACGTGGAAAAGCGCAGGCTGCGCACTCCGACGTCGCGATTTGAAATATCACTTTGTTGTTTACGACGCGTATTGGCTTTTGCACCCGCGTGCGTTTTCGTAATCGCCACTGCGTAATGCGCGTTAGAAATACTGTGTTATCAGGCGCACCTGCACTGTTCATATTTGCTTTCTACCAAGAAACCCATTTCGGTCTCCGCATCTGCATGTTTTGATTGTAATGAGCCTCGTGCATCGGTGCGTTGTGAAATTATAGGGAGTTTTAGAATAACGTACGTAATTTTAGCGCTTGCTAGCGCTAAATTTAGCACTTGCGTTACCGCACGACGTAAGAGTGTTTTAGAATAGCGTTTCTCAGCCGCGAAGCAAAAGCCCGAGCATCTCGCGCTTGCAACGCCTCCAAGTTACAGTCCCAATTTTTATTTCACACACGAAATGCTGTAACTTGAGAAAAAGGAAGTTTTCTTGTTTGTCTTTTTTGTCCAGAGTAACATTTTAGATTTGTTTAAACATGAGGATAAGACGCAAGCGGTTGACCGGTCATGCCCGCTTGCGTCGCCTCGACAAGAGAGATCTCGTGTATACTGACCTTCGCACACCCTACCTTCGCCGAGAAATGTTCGCGCGTCTAAAACATCAAATTTCCGGGGATCGTTGCCCACCTTACTGGGTTTTCCAAAACGAGTGGAACGTCGTCCCTTATTGGAATTGAAGTCGCGAGGATGCCGCCGATGTCGGGCTCACGACGCCACAAAAGAGGCCGCACCCATGATCCTGGCAGCCGCCATATTTTAACTATGCTCGTCTTGGCTTTAACCAACTTCTCATCACGAATCCTCCCTGGAGGAGCGCAAAGACTCTTTGCGTATACGCACGCGATTTCCGAACAATAGAGTGCGTTAACATAGCGCACACAAAGCGCAAAACGTGGTTAGCGTTCGGTGCAGGCGCACTGGCGACGATGCAATTCTGTGCGTACGCAAAGCTTTAGCCTGCGCTATTTTAAAACTCCCTTATCGTTCTGCGTGAAGCGCGTTAAAAATATCAACTTGGAAGTCCGCAAGCGCTGTCTAAATTTCTCATCTGCGAATGAACGCATGCGGTCATTCCACAAGGACAGAAAAAAACTGTCGCTATGTAAGTGTCCGATGACCACTTCGATTTTTTCCAGCATGATTTCATTGTGGATTAAAGTGAACCCGCCCAATTATATCTAAAACCGATTTCACTGTTAGTTTAGACGGATCCAACATACGCTATCCTCCCATTTGTATAACAATGAATATAAACATACCAATATGTTGGCCGGTATTTTAATTGTTTCAAATTAGGGCGGATTTCAGGGATGTGGGGTAGGGTGAGGTCCCCCACCCCCTCCCTTCCTTCCCCCTAGATCCCCCCAAGGGCCACTTTTAGAGCCCAGCTCTTAGGCGCTCGTTCCCGGGCTTCGAGGCATCGCCGTCGGCGTAATCACTCGCGTTGCATGATGGGACGTCACAGACTTATGCACCAATTCAATTTCTCGCTAAATTTAGCGAATAAACTGAATTGGAGTGTAGGTCTGTGACGTCCCATAATGCAACACTGCGCATTCAGTTTCACCGCTAAATTTAGCGGTGAAACTGACGTCACATGAGCTCAACACCATTTCAGATTCCTCGCTAAATTTAGCGGGGAAATGAATTGGTGTTAAGGTTACGTGGCGTCAAGTTTCCGCCTAAGCTTAGCAGAAAAACTGGGGGAGGATGAGAGGGTACGGAGCGGAGGATGGGAGGATACGCGGGAGGGGAGGGGAGGGTACAGAGGAGAAGCAGAGGTGGAAGGGAGTGTATGAAGGAGGAGGGGGGCATAGCCTCCCCTCCTCCACGAGACCTGCGCTCTAATTTCGTATTACAGAGCTTTGTAAACGTCTCATATTTTCTTTTTCTAGAAAGCCACACACACCAGCATTCTTTTCGTGTGAAATGTTTAGTTTTTGGTGAAGGTTTAAATACGAGAATGATCAGTAAGTTTTTGGCTCCTGTGGTGTAACTTTTTTTATTCAGTGATGGATCCGAAAGAGGTTGCAGCCTAATGAAAATGATGAACACTTTCCCAGGAGTTTGTTGCTTTTCAATATAGTACCTACCTTTGCTATCGGTGCATTACTCTCGGCATGCCGTCGTAGGCGATTGAGGGTCGTTGTTGACGACTCTAACGCAGCGCTAGAGGGACTGGAGTTCCAAATGTTTTGCCTATTTCGCCTTACAGCTCACGGATCTTTCACTATCAGACTTTTAGGCTGTTTTCCACAATAAAGGAATATCTGAAGAGTACACGGCTTTCGTCCAATGACGAGTTTACCGATGCAGTGCGCCGTTGTTGTTTTTAACTGTCTCTGTCAATCGTCTACGACGACATGCGGACGGTAGTGCACCGATATCAAAAGTGCATCGCCGCCGGTGGGTCTATATTAATCAGTCACGTTTGGGAAAAGGAGATTCCAGACATCAATCAGAATATAACATCTCGCTATTCTTTTGCCGAAAAACAAACTTATATCACAGGAAACAAAACGTATTGACCACCCCTCGTATTAGGTTGACATAACCGATGGGGTACAGCTTCGCCCATACTGCCCCCACCCTCCCCCTGCTTCAAATTCCTAAAGACCCCTCATGTCTTGAGAGGTCTTTGAATGAATGAATGAATGAATGTCATGTTTAAATGCTCACTTTCTTATTGTTAATTGAAAAAAGATATCAATATTTTTGAAAAAGAAGAGAAACAATCTCTTCATGCTTTTGTTTCATATAGAAAAACTTAAAGATCACAATATTGTTTTTTGAGACACGCGCAGTTGAGCGAACATCGGCAACATTGACAACTGATATCACGTCTTCAACGTGAGTGTAGTTTATAAAATTTCTTAAATTAAGTTTGAAGAAATTTGATAAATTATTCTGATGTTGGCATGACAGAGCATTCTGTGACATAGTTTCCTAAGGACTGTGGATTCTTTTTGGTAGGGGTAGAGAACTTCTGTATTTCCGGGAACAAAGAGTCCCCTCGAGATTTATGCATTTAGTTAAAGATTGTATTAGGCTTTGTCAGAGTGATCGGTCACAAAGCATTACCCACTAAGTTCGGCGTTGCGCGTTGGATGTCGCCAAACCTTATATTTGAATTTATTGAAATCAGAAAGCGCAAGAGAGAGACACGGACATGAAGTAGACAATGCAAATTGTTGTGTGTATGTTTATAGAGCCTATAACTTAGTCTGGCTCAGTGGGCGTCCGGTGTCTCAGCTGGAGATAAACAATTTAGCCAGTGCGGAACAACCGCTAACCTGCCGTCTTTAACGTGCACCACGCAGTAGTGATACACGACCGCACGCCGTTACGATGCTCATCCCAATCGAAACGAGCCGGATGAGCATTGTACAGGCGTGCGGTCATGCATCACTACTGCGTGGAGCACGTTAAAGACAGGACAGCGCTACACTCAGAACTGGGCTTTTTAATAGACATCTAAGGGAGAAAAGTAACAAGCGATAAAAGTTATAGAAAAAAACAAAAAATAAAAAAATAAAAACAATGTATATTAAAGAAGTAGGAGAATTATAGTCACTGTAGATATAAATTAAAAAGTAAAAAAAAGAATAACAATAAAAAAGTTAAAACATTATTTAAACACGACGTTGAAGGGAGAAGAAAGATGAAGGATAAAGTGCGTTAGATGGTTCAATATGTTGAACCATCTAGCCGACCTCAATATTTTAGTACTTATTTTAATGTTTCAGCAGTTTCTTTGAAATATGAAGTCCCTTAACTATTTGCACAAAACAGGAGTGAAATTTTTGTGTAGGGGTATGGAGAGGTGAATAACTGGTTCCAATAAACCTTTATAGTGCTTAGGCGACTTCGCCAAAACATGAGTAACTTCGGTGGTACCTCTAGACAAGTATGCACGACGGAAGAATATTTCGAGTTTTGTGTTTGATTCCCTGTCGCAATTTACTTTATGATACGCTCCTACAAAGTAAAAGCAACATTGCTCTCATGGTTCTTCCCCTAAGGTAAAGGGAGGACGACAATATGGTGTCTTGGAATGTTTGGACGTTTCTTATGGTGATTACGGTATTGCTATTACCTGAAGAGTATCGGAGCCATTGTCAAGCAAGCGCTTGCGTCGCTCAAAACCTACGCGATACCGAATGTATTTCCCGATAGGAGAACACAGCCGGGGAAAAAAGTTTTTGCTATTCCAGTAGCTAGCGTCTTGGAAGGCAGTGATGATTCAACCCCGTTGGCTAGCTCAATGAAGCGTGGTGTAAAACGTTTATGATCGAACGACTTCATTTTTGTTAGAAAAACAAAGTGCAACACATTGATTAACAAAAAAAGTTCCGCAGCGCGCGAGGGAGGGGTGTTGCTATGGTTTCACCCGGTATCTGTTATCCTTCCTCATCCGAAGGATTCTCGCTCCAGCACTAAATATAATCTCAGAGGGGTACGCTTCCACGCCAGATTTCAATGATGATGCCTATTTCTGTGCGGTGCGTGTTTTTCACAGGAAACCGTGACGTTATTCACTGTATCAACTGACATGGAAACAGTCAACAACAACACCATTGTGGTTATCCAGTGATATTCTTATTCTATCGGGAACGCATATACGTAAAAATAATAAAGTGGTTT